GATGATTGTTCTGCTTTGCTCTCGCAGCGGAACACAACACAAGCTTCACCTAATTTTTTTGTTCAGCAGGTCAGGTACTGACACCTATTTCCTCGGGTATATTCCTGTAAAAGCCATTCATTATTATAGTACTCTAATAATTACCTTTCAAACTAAATTGAAATTGGAGATGGAAATTATGGTGCAAATTTTGATCACTAACTACGGTGAAGTTTACAGATATATGCTAATTTCAGCCCAATTCCTTGACGTGACCATTTATAGAAATTGATTATACAAGCAGTGGATTCACACTGTAGTCAATCAGTAGGTGATATTTAATTGCTAGGTAACTAATCAAGGACGAGCCAAAAATACAAAGGAGTATACTATTGTGATGCCAGACAATTTAACCCACTAACGCCAGTATATTTTGAAGCCGAAAATAAAAGTTTCCCGAGCAGCTACAATCAGCACGCGGGGCTAGCCCGGACTCTGCTCGCCACATTGCCGTGGCCCGCTGCTGAGTCGGAACGTGAGCCCCGATCCCAGCAGTACACCGGCAAATTTTTTTTACAACTGTAGTCAATCAGTAGGTGATATTTAATTGCTAGGTAACTAATCAAGGACGAGCCAAAAATACAAGGAGTTATCTATTGTGATGCCAGACAATTTAACCCACTAACGCCAGTATATTTTGAAGCCGAAAATAAAAGTTTCCGAGCAGCTTACAAAATCAGGCACGCGGGGCTAGCCCGGACTCTGCCTGCGCCACTTGCCGTGGCCCGCTGCTGAAGTCGGAACGTGAGCCCCGAATACACAGCAGTTACACCCGGCAAATTTTTTTCCCCGGTTGTCCTCATATGTGGGACACCCGCGTCGTAAGTGGGTTTAAGTGTCACATAATAATTTAAAAAAACACTTGCTAAAGTATCATATATAGTCTCCTTTTTAAATAATCCATTAGTCTCCACTGTCTCACTTTATATAAAAAAAAAAATCATCTAGTTTTTATCAACTAATCAACAGCAACAGTTTTTTTATATTGCTGATATATGCCATTAGACATATGTGCCACAGGTTCTGATCAAGCTTCCCTTCCATATATAAATTCCTTTAAGTCTCTCTCTCTAATATAGAACTAGAAAAAATATATCAGGGTCTCATCATGCTGCTCATTACTTACTCTAACTGTGTGCGATCTTGAGTCTCACTAGAAACCACTGGCTCTGCCTTTTCTTCTATAGGTTCACAATAGGCTTCAGGGAACCAGCCGGTCTGGCCACGTAATTCTCCTCCGAGCCAGCCTGGTTCAGCATTTTCACTCATTGTTACCTGAAGTTCATACAAAATTATTCCTGAAGATTTCCTTATCCACAAATACTTTAAAATTAACTTAAATGTATTTTAAGTATTTTGCATTTAAGACCTGATTTGCATTTGTATTCTATTTTTTATAGACATTCTGACTCCTTTTTGTAAAGAAATCTTGAACCCTGATGCTTCTATATTCTGTCTTCAAAGATTCAACGTCCCTTTCCTTCTACTACAGCTTGAAATGCATTACCTCCAAAAAATCACAAAAAATGGTATGTTTAAACAATATATGGCACTCTTAAAGGGAGCACATGCATATTCTCAAATACACAAAGTCAAAATTGATAAATTTTGGCTGAAAAGCCCACACAGTCCCTTCTGGGATCCACTCGCCAAGTACAATACAGATTTCATTTATACTTACAGTATTATCTCCTGGCATAATATCGGACATATCATACAATAGATTAACTAGGCATCAAGGGAACTGATAGCAGATAGCTCACCTGTACCAAAATTGAAGAGGCTCCCAACCAGCAGCTGGCTCCACTGCCAGAGCTGTCACCACACTCAGCAGTAATAGCTCTGAGAAGATAAGGTAATATTAATATATTCTCTAGGTCTCATACCTGCTAAGGAAGATAATGACACAAGATAATAATTATTTGTTAACACACCTAATTATCGCTGAAAACCACAGGCAATATCACATCCAGATCAATATAATAAACACTCAAAATCTAAACTAAAATATACTCAACATCCTTACACCATTTACACACACCATAAGAACATCTTAACAAATAAGTTGTAGCTCATATTCTATCACTCATCATCCCGTTTAAAATAAATACATAGCTGAGAGATTTCATAATCACAGAAAAAAAAATGCCTTTTACATGGCATACACACCACACACACACACCACACACAGCACATCACCACAACATACAAGATACCCCTTACACCACAACACCACACACACAACACACAACACAAGAATACCTCCACAGCAACACAACTACAAACTATATATATATATATAATATAACTAGCTAAATATATATATCATATATAACTCATATATATATAATATTATACATACTATACTATAACCATAATACATATTACTCATACCTAATCACATGTTATATATCATCATATGCATAGCTACTACTATATATATTATATATATATCAACTATAATCTTACTCAACCAATATGCTGCTCTATATCATCATATATACTATCGTAGCATCACATCATATATTCAGCTGTATATCATCATCAGTCACACTACATCTATATACCTATTATATAACTATTATATATCACTAATATACTCACTGTACTCACTATCATACCTATATATACCTATATATATATAATATTTATATATATATACTACTACCTACTCATACATCAGTGCTATACTAATACCTACTCACTCTCTAACTTTATATATAACATATATACCCTACTAGTATCATGTATAATATATATCTTACTTTATATACCTCACTACGCTACCTATATATCTGTATATATATAATATATAATATATACATATAATATACCTATAATACTACTCACCTACTCTAGCACATACTATACATAATACACATATATACATATATTATATATATATACTACACTATATCACTACTCTACCTATAAATACTACTACATACTCATATCAATCATATACCTCAACTACTATAAACCTATATACATCATATATATATATACTCAGCTACCCCTATATTCATATTATATATTCCATATATATATTCATCCATATACTTCTTCATCATATATACACTATCACTAATACCTCACCATAATCATTATACCCATATACTTATACTATCATAATCCCTCAGCATATTATAACATATTATACATACTTCACATTACACTATTCATTACCCATATATCACCTCCAACACACATACTATAATCATATATTATCTTAGTAACTTATCTAATATACATCATATATATTTACATATATATTATACTTATATTTATTATTATATACATATATGATACTATACTTATAATCCACTATCTCTACATACTCATCAAGTCAAAAGAAAAACAACATCGCACACACACAACAGCACACACACACCACACACGAACACAACACACACACAAACAGCACACACAACAGCAACACGCACACAGAACAACAGTACAGACAACGACACGGACACAAGATCAGACCACAAGACACCAGACCACAGACAACACAGGACACCGCAGCATGACGTAGTCACGACAATCACAAACAGGCACAGACATCAGACCAGCCAGCAGACACAGACCACGCACAGGACCACGCACGAGGGCAAATTATCCACAGTGCACTCTGCACAGCACGCACGCAAATACGGTCTCGCACCGCACGCCGGCCCCCGCACGGCGCAACGCACGCAACACACACACCACCACACAAAAAAATTTTCATTGAAACACTAAAGTAAAAGAATAAAAGACACACACACAACACTCCAACACCAACCACACACACACACAACACAAAAACCAACACAAACACAAACACAAAACATCACAAACACAAACATCACACACACCACACACACACACACAACACAAACACACACCACAGCACATGACACACAACACACACAACACACACAGGCACCACATATATATATATATATATATTATATAATATATGTAATTATAATATATATATATAATATATATATCTATAAATAATATAGATTCACATATGTTATAACATATATATAATACATATATATAACAAATATACATACATATTATATACACGTATACATATCTAATATACACATATACATACATATAATAATACACATGGTTACATACATTATATACACTATGGTATACATATATTAGATAATAGATAGATATACATGTGTATATACTGTATATGGCCATGTATATATTACGATATACCAAATGTATATATTCTATATACATATATAAATGTATATTATAACATAATATAAATGTTTATATACATATATAAATGTATATATATACATATATAATACATATATATATTATGATATATATATTATATATATAATTTTTATATATAATGTTATATATATACATATACATATATTAATATGTATTGTTATGTCGTATTGCATCTATCTATTTATATATACATATTATATTAATGTATATATATAATATATATCTTAATCTATTCTATCCTATCTATGATATACATAATAATATTTATACTGTTACAACAAACATATCATATCATATATATATACATAATACATATATTATATATATATATATATATATATATATATATATTATATATATTACAATATAACATGTACATATATACATAATATGTGTATATATTATTAAATATATATACATTTATAATTTATCATATAATATATATATATATATATATAATATATATTATATATATTATAAAATATATACATGTATATATCTATATAACATAATACTTCTTAAATCACATACATATATAACATACATATATATATAATATATATATATATATATATAATATATAATATATATATATATATATATATATATATACATACACATACACACATATACATAAAACATACTATACATAAATATATATAAAAAACATACATTACATACATTTATATACATACATACATTGTGATACATACAATATAATATGAACAGTACATACATAGATACATTATTTATAAAACAATAGATACATACATACATACATCATTACATACACATATCTAAACATACATACATCATACATATAAACATACATTACATACAATATTCAAACAATACATACATACATATTATACAAACATGCATACATATATATGATACAAAGGCATACACTACATACATATATATAAACATGCGTATATACATATATAATAACAACATAACTATATCATACCTATATTATATCATCATGCGTAATCCATATATATAAACAATCCGTATAATATATAACTGTAATATATATATATTATATATATATATATTATATATATATATATATATATATATACATATATAATATATATATATATACATATATATAATATCTATATACATATAGATAAAAATTTATTTTTTTTTAAAAAAAAAAAATTTGTTAGAATACATGCAAATATAACATATACATATATGTATTACATAGATATAATACATATATGCATTTATATATAAACAATATGCATATATGTATATACACATGTATATATGTATATATACATTCATAAACATATAATAATATACATATAATATAATTAACCTACACACACAACAAACATCACACACACACACACACACCACCCACACACACATTACACACACACACATACATACTAATATACATTTATATATATACATACATCTTATACATACATGTGTATGTCTATATTGTGTATAATACATTATATATATATTAATATATATATAATATATATAATATATATATATAAATATATATCATACCATACATATATACAATATATATATATAATATACATACATATATAAGTATAAACATATACACATATATATGCATATATAACATAATATATATACATACATATATATAATACATATATATATAACATATATACATATATGTCATAGAAATTTCAAATATATATACATAGATATTTACATACATATACACAGTATATTCAATAATATGCATTTTATATATAAACATAATGTATATATGTATAAATGCAAATACATATATTATATATACATATGTTACACACACACCACACAAACATATATATATTATATATATATATATAATATATATATATAATATATAGTATATATAAATATATATGTATATATATATATATATATAATATATAATATATTATATATATATGTCTAGATATAATATATATATGTAATACATATAGAAATATATATACTTATACATATACATACATATAAATACCTGTATATATATATTATAT